CAGAAGTGGGTGGCCAATCCTTCTTCCTAGTCTGTCTTAATCTGAATGTTCAGATTTAGAGGAGTATCTGACAGACAAGCAATTTGTGGAGCAGTGAAAGATAAATCCCTTATTGTGGAGTTAAGCATTAGTTACAGTGTTGACCCCACCTTTAGCCCAATGCCATTTAGAAAGTCTTAATTTTAAAATCATATATATGTATATCTGTATAAATGTAAAACACTTTTTTAAAAAGTCAACTAAAGTGATGATAAATATTACTTAAAACAATTGTATACTATAAAGACACTGCATAATTATTTATTTAAAATATTTGTAATTCTGGATGTAAATACATATGTGTTTACATAATTTATGGTTATTCATAGAAACCCTCAAATAAAAGCTTAATTGTTATCCACAATCCTTTTCTTCTCAGAAGCATATTATTAAATTGTCTACTTCATTGAAAGTGTTCAAATTCTTTGAAATCCTGATTTGTGAAGAAATCACCAAAAATAACTTAACCTACCTACAAACAATAAAATTGTTTGTAATGCTGTCATTGATTTCTCCCTGGCTAAAATAGTCACTTATTATTGCACATTTTCTAGGTACAATTATTATGTGCATATAAACCTTACATAATGACAGTTTTCACTGCAACTTGCTTAACACATTTAAAATTATCAAATACAATTTACAAAATCTTTAACAATATACTTTTAAGATAAATGTATCCTGAGGATATTACAAAATTCATTTTACCAGCCCTTCATTTCTTTGCTTTATTTGACAATTTAATTTCCAGGATAATAGTTGTCCATATTTTATTACATAAAAACGTTATTTCATAGTTCCTATTAAACAAAATATATTTAGATAAATAGTATATAATTGCCCCATAACCACTTAGTCCCATCTAGTTCCAGTCTCACTAGTTAAAATCAAGTATTTATCAAGTTTTCTGTAATCCTAAATCAGAAAACATGTAGCACAAAACAGAGAAATAGGGTTAGCACATTTAAGTTAAAAGTATTATGTATTTTTAATATTTTGGTTATACTTATAATAAAATATTTTGGCAAAAAATAATATGTTTTGATTTTCTATTAATGACAGGTCTGGTGGATATTTTACATTTGTAAATTCCATCTATATGACTATTTTCACATTTATATCTGAAAACATTTCTGATAAAGTTTTCAGAATTTTAAAACTAAAAATAAGAAATAAAATTTACATAAAATGTTTGGTTGATGTTCAAAAATTCTTTGACAAATTCATTAACTTACATATGCTAACACATACCAAAAGTGCCTATATATGCCAACACAAAATCTTTATTGCCTTCCAAGGTTCATCTGAGTCAACATTGCCTTTAAAATGATAATCTTGGAAGTCTCTCTTGTTTGCAAATAAGGATTAAAATAGAAATAGGGAAAAAATAAAAAAAGAACTGCACAAAGTTGTTAATCTGGTGGCAGTACTTGTTATGGCACAAAACCACATGAAAATGCATGTAGTTACCTTATTTACAAAACTTAGTTCAAGTAAGTTGTGCTAGATATATATACACACACACACACACACACACACACACACACATATACACACAAATAAGCACATGTATATATACATACAACTTGGGTTCTAGAGGGAGAGACTGATAAACATTTTACATAATGAGCCAATCAGTTCATTTATCACTGAAGTCTCAATGACAGTTTTCATGGAAATGCTCTTTATTTCACTCTTATCCAAATGCCACACTATTATTAAGTGGTGGAAGTGTTTGGGATGTTTAAGTTTGATAAAAGAAGTGAGGGTATAATGACTATTTAGAGAGAAAGCCTTTACATAAAGGAGATTTTTACTGTGAAAGAAATTCATAGAGCTATCTGCAGAAGAGGTTACCAACAATTAAAAAACCTAGTCTTTTAACACTATATCACACTTACTATAACATACAATAAATATGCAGTATTATAGTATTAGTTACACATTCTACTTTAGGCAATATAATCTAATTCTGAACGACCTTGTTAATGTTTAAGGCATCAGTGCGTCAGTGCAAAGGCTCTATAAAATATGTGTGAAAACAAGAAAGCATTAGCTTGCTGACTAAAGAGAGATCACTGTCTATCACAATTGTGTCCACTTCCATGAAGTAGAGTCATGCATACTGGTGTCAAAATGTTACAGCATAAGTTTTACATCATTTTTCAGCACTTCATTTAATGGGCTAAACTGATCAGGCAGTATTCTCATTTTCATTGTTCCATCAGCTCCACAAGAGAAAATATGATTTGCTGGTCCTGTTTCAATCTGCATCACTCCGGTTCCAATATTCCTGAAAATAGACTGCCGAGAATGTTCGTTGATAAAAGTATGGAGAAGAGTAAATGTAGAGAGACTCCATATCTGAAAGATATTAAGAACAAATTGCAAATTGATTACCTAAGAATAAAGAAAAAATTTAGTACTATCTTCCTGTACAAATAGGAGCTTCTAGGTGATACAAAGGGTTAAATTCTTGGTCGCTTCCCAAAAGGTTGGCAGTTCAAATCCATGTAGATGCACCTTTGAAGATAGGCCTTGTGATCTACTCTCCACTCTTCCCCTCCCCCCAAAAAAAATCAACTACTGAAAATGCTAAAAATGCAGTTTTACTTTAAAACAGAGGGCACTATGAGCTAGAATGGACTACAGGATAACTAGTTTTTTTGATTGTTTCTATGCATACACAGAATTTTCAAAACAAGGAAAAACCCTCTGTAGGTCTCAGATTGTAGTATTTTGTGTAAATATAATATATATAAAACCAAGCAAATTGGCCTCCGTACTCCCCAAGAAAACTTCCCTAACCACACTGCATTTGAGATGATCCAGACTCAAAAGCTGTCCTTCAGGACACAGTAGAACAACTCCAAAAGTTTTCCAAGGGTATAAATAGAGTCTTCATGGAAACAGGCTGCCACATCTTTCTCTACAGGAGCAGCTGATCATTTCAAACCGCTGACCTTTCAGGTTAGTAGCCAAATGCTTTAACCACCACGCTATGAGGGCTTTTAACTGCATTTTAAGACTAGCCTTTTCTTTTATATTGTTAAAGTTTTAAGTGTTACATGGTAAAAGAAGAAGATATTAACTCCAAGTTGGACATGAGATTAAACTAAGGTACTAGGAGGTGAAATTGATGTTGTTGTTGTGTGTCATTGAGCTGGAATCAGCTCATAGTTGACTCTTCAGTGGGTTCTTAGAGGCAAATAACCGCACAGGAGGAGACTGCCCATACTTCTCCTGTGGAGCAGCTAGTGAATTCAAATTGCGTGCTCAGTACTACATATACTTCTGGTGTTACAAGAACTATAGTCAAAATTTCTTTATCTCTCAGCAAAGCTTTAACTGTACAATTATGCTCAAGAAACAAAGAAACAAAAACTTATTGCACTGAATTAGAAATGAGCCCTAGCTGACCTTCCAGGGTTTCCAAGGCTGTAAATTCCAAGACAGGCAACTACTCATCTTTGGGTTAGCAGTGCTGCTCCCTACGGACTACACCCCCAGAGCTTACTTTTGTACTTTTACTAAAGAAACCTCAAAGTCACTGATGTCAAGTTGGAACCTATTCATGGTTAACTCTCTGATGGGATTCAGAGGCTTTACATAGCTCAGGAGATTGCTCTTTTTCCTTTCCTGTGGAGCAGCTGGTGAAGGTGAACTGAAAATGAGGTATGCCCTGTAAGGCAACAGTGTAATCTTCTACCCCGGTGACTCCATCATCAGAACTCGCTAGAGCAGTTGTACAGTGGGGTAAAATCTTTTTGTTTGCCTAGTGGGTAGGTAGTTGTCCTGCTCATCCAAATCTGGTGCCTCTCTAGTGGTTTGAATCTACCAGTGGCTCTGAGAGGAAGATGGGCAATTTACATCTGTCTCCATGGGAGAGAGATGGGCTCTGAAATTTACAGGCTGGGAAATCTTAATGGAGGTCAAGCTATTAGTCAATTCTGATCTGATAGCAATGAGAGTCAGCAACATCAAAACACCCACCGGAAGATCAGGACAAATGGAAAGAAGGAAGTACCCAACAGTGTAACACTAAGTGAAGCTATATTCCAACTACATAGCAAATTATCAGAACTTCAAAACAATGAACTTATCAAGACCCCCATTTTTAGCCCTTACTTTCTGAAATAAATATTGTCATAATAAATTATAAGTATATTCACTGATGTTATAACAAAGAACTACCACTTATATGCAGTAAATATGCTCAGTTTTGTAAATGACTGACTAGGTTCTAAGAAATAACTCCTCAAGTCTTAGAATGCAGACTATTAGAACAACATAGACTGACTGGTCTCGGCTGAGGGAGCTCTGGTAGGGCAGTGTGATGGGGTAGTGTGTTTCACTGCTAGCCCGCAGGTCAAAGTTTTCTGGTGGTTCAAAGCCACCAGTGGCTGCAAAGGAGGAAGACGGGCAGTCTCCTGTAGTGCAGTTTACAGCTTGGGAAAGCCAACAGAGGGTCAGCTATGAGGCTGACTTTATGGCCATGAATTTGAATTTTTTATTCTAAACTAATCTATCCCTGTAGATTTTTTTCAAATGTGGCCAGAGGACCCACCATTAAAACTTTTAACTGTACAGCAGAGTAATTTTATAACTTAAAAAACATCCAATTCATTACTCTCACACTGGAATTGACTCCATTAGGCTTCCAATGCTATAAATAACATGAAAGGAGACTATTCTTTCTCCTGGGGAGGCACTGATGAATCGGAATTGCCAGAGGAGCATTTGGGTTAGCAGCACAACTCTCTATAGACTGCTACCAGAGATCCCTAAATTTATGACTAAGTCATTTATTATAAAAATACAAATTCTTATTTTCTTTTACAATATCACTTTCTTTAATTTATTTTCAAAAATTGTGATTTGGATGAAATAACTAACTTTTCAAGATCTCTGATTTTTAGCCTTTACTTTCTGAAACAAATATTTTCATAATAAACTATAAGCATTCACTGATCATCCCCGAGGTAATCATTCCTCCTAATACCAGTCATAGTGCACAATGTGTGCACACGCAATGTGTGTCCATTCGTTCCATACTGTCATTCTTTAAACCCAGCCCAACTAAGTGTTCTTTGTCTATCATTTTCTACTTTCCCCACCTACTTAACATCCTTCATAACCATATCAGACTAATAAAAATGTAAATTCTTGAACCCTAAAGTGAAACAAGTCAGTATTTCAGGGGTTAGACTTGGAAATATGCATTTTAAATAAGCTGCTTAACATATTTAATGAATTTATTAGTGTTTTAAACACAAGATACGAGAAATATTACTACTGGTGGGCCTTATCAAGGTACATTCAGAATTCTTGCATCGGGAATTAAATGCTAATTACAGTGGGAAAAGGTTGAAAAGAAATTTGGGATAAAGGAAAATATAAACCACCACTTACATAGAGGGTGGTAATATGATTTAAGGAGCTCTGGTGGCTAGTGGTAAGGAGCTGCTCCACGGGAGAAGGATGGACAATCTACTACCATGCAACTTACTGCCCCTGAAACCCACTAGAGGACCAGATATGGGGTGGCTCTGACTCAATGGCACACACGATTACAAGGTGATTTAAAGAGCCAGGGTTCCGGAAGAGTGTTTTCCATTTTGTAGGAACATGTTCATAGGTACCTTTATATTGCCTTCAGCAGATCCTGTAACAAAATACTCCTCAGTTGGGTCAATAGCAACGGCTTTCACTGGCGAGTCATGGCTTTGGAAAAGCTGCTTCTGTTGTCTTTGGTGAAGGTCAAACACACATGTAAAGCCTTTTCTGCCACCTGATATGAGTAGCTGATGTTTTGGAGCATATGCCAAAACAGTGGCTCCACTATCATGGCATGAGAAAGCTGAAAGAGAGGAAAAAAACCCCCAACTACTTAACAATTAATGTGTTTTTAAAAACAGACTTCCTAATTGTAGTCAAGATGGAATAATGGATCAGATTTATTTTCTTGACAGTAGCATTTGAAAATAAAATTAAATGCAGGACATAATGGTTGGAAACAGCGGATACTACTCAGTGAAGAAAAATCACAGGGAGATGAAAAACAAACTGTGAGAACTGTGACTGCCTGAGCTTACCACTTAGATAGAGCTTTGAACCGTGGCACAAAGAGGAAGAACCCAAATGGAGCCAGGAAGTCAATAATCTGATGAGAGTTTCACATCCAGAATATATTTTAAAAAAACAATCCTTTCTATATGTCAACAAAAAGCCCAATAAAAATGGGCAATAGATGTGAATAAACATTTATCCAAAGATTAACATAAAAGTACATGGAAAAGAGCACAAAGTCATAGTTATTAGCATAAACCACACTGAATACCATGCCACACTCATTCTCATATTTAGTAGAATGGATATTATCAGAAAAATGGGAGGAAAATCCTTGGTTCCATTAAGGTAGGGTAATGGAAATCCTCATCCATTGCTGACAGCACTGTAAATTGGTGAAGCTGCTGTGGAAAACAATTCTGCAGTTCTTCAAAGAGTTAAACAAAATCTTACTGTATGGTCCAGCAACTACTGGTATATACCTACACTCTCTGAAAGCAGGTATTCAAAGAGATACTTACTTGACACTAATATCCACTTATTTACAAAAACAAAAGGGGTGTGTGTGGGGGGGAAATTCAAGCAACCACCGAATATGAATGGATTAATAACATGTGGTAGAGTCATGTAATGGAGTATTATTGTTGTTGTTAGGTGCCATCGAGTTGCCTGCAACTCATAGTGGCCCTATGTATAACAGCTTTGAAACCTGCCAGACTCACTGACTCCAGGATCTTCCTCTCCTGTGCTGTCCCTCCACCCTTTTGAATGGAATATTATTCAGCCACAAAAATAAAGATCATGCTGAGTAAGATGAGCTAGACATAAAAGGCCAAATAATGTATATTTCCTCTTAAATACTTTTAAAATACTCAAAAATAGAAAGATAAAATTTATTCATAGTTACCTGGAGCTAGGGGAAGGGAAAATGGCGAAATACTGCTTAAAAGGGTACTCAATTTCTGTTTAGAGTGTTGAAAAACATTTGGAAACAGAAGTGACAGGTGCATAATATAATTAATATAGTTTATGTTAATGAATTATATTCTTAACAATGGTTAAAATGGAAAATGTATGCATACTTTTTTGTATTTTTTTATAATAAATATTTTTAAAAATTAAATTTTATTATTTTTAATGAACATTTACAGAGATTTGGGGTTTTCATTCATTCATTGTTGCACTATTTTCTCTACCCTCCTCCCCAGTTTGTTCTTTTTTTTCTTTCCCCCCTTGAAAGTCTGTTTTAATTGTCCAATTACCACAGTGCTTGTCAAAGCCAGTTCTGATTAATCTCCTATGTTAGTGTTCCTTTGCCATTCCCGATCACCCCTCCTTGTATAATAAATTTTTAAAAAATAAAAATTGGTAACAAACATTTAAGCAGAGTTTTGATTTATGAATTTCATGACCTCCATGATTTAGGAAAAAAAAAACCTCTGTAAAACTTACCATGTACTAAACTGTTGGCAGGAGCAACAAGCGTATCCCACAAACATACGTTTCTAGGAGGAAAAGAATGTATCTTGAATGATGTAAATTTTTAAAAGTACACTATAAAAAAATGACATTAGAAGGCTTCTAGTGTTATAGGCGCATCAACTATTTAAAAAGCCCTAAACCCTCAAATTCATTACTGATCACTCAGAGCGAACTCACAGTTGATCCTCCAAGAGGATTTCCTTTCCAAGATTACAATGTAATATATTATATATCAAGAAATTAAAAATCTTAACCTCTGGACAAATAGGCAACATCATGCTAAATGGAGAAATGAGTCAAACTGTTAACAATTTCATTTTACTTTTATATACAATAAATATTCATGGTAGCAGCAGCCAAGAAATAAAAAGTGTTGCATTAGAAAATCTGTTGTCCAGGACCTCTTAAAATGCTAAAAAGCAAGGATATCAGTGTTAAGACAAAAGTGTACCTGATTTAAGTCACAGTATTTTCAATTGCTTCCTATGCATGCAAAAGTTGGACAATGAATAAGGAAGATAGAAGAAAAAGAGAGGTCTTTGACCTGTAGTGCTAGAGAAGAGTACTGGATATCTCATCTGCTTAGAGGAAGTACAACCAGGTTGCTCCTTAGAGGCAAGGATGGTGAAATTTATTCTCACATACATTGGTCATGTTGTCAGGAAGGGTCAGTACTCAGAAAAAGACATTATGCTGGGAAAGGTAGAGCCAGTAAAAGAAAGGAAACCCCTCAATGGATTGACACAGTGACTGTAACAATGGTCTAGAGAATGGAGAGGATCATGAGGGTGGCGTAAGATAGGGCAAGGTTCCATATTATAGCTTGGCTAGGAGTCAGTTAATGGCAACTAACAACAACAACAACAACAACAACAACAACAACAATCAATTACAGGGGAGAAGACTGTCCATCTTGCTCCCACAGAGCTGCTGGTTGATTCAAACTGGTTACCTTTATGTTAGCCACCTTAAGGATTAAGTCACAAGAGCCATGTAAGTAAGGGAAATAGTCACAGGTGCTGTGTTTGTGTTTTTTGGGGTTTTTTTGGGTAACAGTGCCATGTACAACAAAATTAGAATGAAACTCTACTCAATCCTGCGCCATTGCTACAATCTGTACTGTTGCTGTTACTGTATCCATCTACGGTGTTGAGTGTCTTTTTCTTTTTCCTGATCCTCTGCTTTTCTAATCATGCTGTCCTTCTCCAAGGACTGGCACTTCCTGATAATAACATGTCCAAAGTACATGGGATGAAATTTTACTGCCCTTGCTTCTAAAAAGCACATTGGTTGTACTTACTTCCAAGATAGATCTATACATTCTCTTGACAGTCCATGTTGTTACATGCTAGCAAGTTGTAACTGATTCATAGCTGACCCTTAGCTTGACCCTGAGGGCTTCAAGAGGCAGTAAATTGTCAGGCAAGGAGAATGTCCATCTTTTTATCCCTCAGAGCAGCTAGTGGACTCAAACCATAATCCATAGTTCATTTGATATTCTTCACCAACTTACAAATCAAAAGAAACACTTCTTCTTCAATCTTCCTTATTCACTCTTCAATGCTAGCACTTTAAAGAGGTCCTTGGCAACAGATTTGCCCATGCAACACAATTTCTGACTTTTTAACTGCTTGGTAGGCATCAGAGAGCTGGACAATGAATAAGAAGGCAGAAAAATTGATGACTTTGAGCTGTGGTGCTGGAGAAGATTATTGAACATATCATGGACTACCAAGAGAACAAACCAGATCTGTCCTGGAGAAGGTAAAATCAGGTTGCTCCTTGGAGACAAGGAATTTGTAGCTCTGTCTCCCATATGTTGGGCACATGGCCAGGAGGGACCAATTCTTGGAGAAGGATACCATGCTTGGTTGGAAAGGCAGAAGGACAGCGCAGGAGAGGAAAACCCCAGTTGAGATGAACGGATACAATAAATGGGGTAATAAGGGTAGGTGTGTCAGAGACAGTGAGAAGCGCTCAGGCTGGGACAAAGTTCAGAGCTATTGTACACACAGTTGTTATGAGTCGCAAGTGACTCAATGGCACAAAACAACAACACAAATAACCATGGTCATTGATTGTGGATGCAAGTAAAATGAAATTCTTGATGTCAATCTTTTCTCTGTTTATCAGATGTCTATTGTTCCAGTTGTATTTTTTTCCTCTGCTTTCAGCCAAGATCTGATAGCAGCAGTGACGTATCCTTATTCCACAGCCTTTTCTGAATCCAGCTTGCATTTCTAAGAGATTCAGCATTTTTGAACCAAAAGCTCAGTTGGTTTCAGAAACTCAACTATGAAATGGAAATGCAAAGTGAGAGTAAGATGATGAGAGTGAAGAAGAGTTAGTTCTTTACAAAGTTAGTAATTTTATTTTTTTGTGGGTGTGAGGGAGAAGTTCAATCATATAAACAAGAAGGTTATTTCCTGTTTTCTCTTGTGAAACGGTGAAGCTAATTTATAGGACCATGATAATGATTAACACTATCAATTAAAAAAGTTATTAGTTTTACCTCAAACGTTCCTAATAGAAAATATAAAGGGGAAAAATTAATTCTACTAACAAGTAAATCTTTTTCACCTTCTCTAAAGTCTTAACATCAGAATATTAAAAATGAAGAAAAATGGGTTTTGTTTCTGATAAAACTGGAACTTCCCTAGCTTTATAATTAGAGCACTAACAATTCTATAAGCAATAAAGTAGCCTTTATGGTAAAATTTGTAAAGATCTAAATTTTTGTGAAAAAAATTTTAAGATGCAAAGTCAGAAGGAAATTAAGAAAAATACACAAAATTCAGACATACTTTCTTACCTATTGTCTGTTGACAGACCAGCAGTAGCTATTAGAGAGGAGGAACTGACGAAGACAAAATCGTTGGCTGTTTTGTTATGACACTGCCAAGTCTGGAACAGTTAAAAATAATAAACATTATTGTAGTCTCTAATGATTTCAATCTCAGGCAGATAAATTATTCAAAAAGTGATAATATAGTTTTTGTGGCTTTCTATATACCCTTGTGCCTTTTTTACTTTATGACTTTTATCCAGATTTTCCAATATTTAACAATTTGTTACATTTCCTTTTTCTCTCTCCTTTTCATAGACATAGATAGACAATATATGTACAAATATTTAAAGAATCATTTAAGTAGGCTGTATAGCATGACTCTTAATGAGGTCCTTTGTTTTGTTTATCCAAAAATTCAAAATTAAGGAACAAATATTGAACTGTATTTATTTCCTTTAACATTCTTGATAAAAAAATTTCTTTTTAAATAAGGGTTAAATAACCTGAGATTATAGATTATCTCAGATTTAACTACCTTTGCTAACATTACTAACAATTATGTTTTTCAGAAATACAAGATGAAAAAAATTTTAAATATATGAGCAAAGATATTGCTAACAGTCAACAAAATTAGTACAGTATTTTGCAATATTTTATAAAATAATTCAAGATATTAGGGGAGGCTTGTTGTTGTTGTTATGTGCTGTCAAGTCGTTTGTGACTCATAGCGACCCTATGTACAACAGCCCTAAACCCTGCTCTATTCTGTGCCAATCTCATTGCCTCTGACACACCCATCCCAAT